TTTAAGAATCAGGAGGTCGATTCATACCTCCAGATGAACGGCATCCAGCGCGCTTTGACTCCCGTGTATCATCCCCAAGCGAATCCCACAGAGCGAGTAAACAGGACACTCAAGTCCATGATCACGTCTTACGTAAGCCGTGATCATAAGAGCTGGGATGAACACCTGTCAGAGTTCAACTTCGCGTTGAACTCGGCAACTCATAGCGCCACCGGATATAGTCCTGCGATGCTCATGTTTGGGCGTCAGACGGTACCTCCTTTGACGTTCAGAAGAACCCAAGATCAGCAGGCCCTTGAATGTTCGGAGGGTCAGGCTGTAGAAGATTGGGCCGAACATATCGAGAAGCTTCCTAATTTGTGGGAGAGAGCTAACTCCAAGTCAAAGGAGGAAGCTGCGCGTCAGGCGGCTTATTATGACCGGAAAAGACGGCAACCCGAGTTTAAGGTCGGAGATTGGGTTTGGAAGAGGAACAGGATTCTATCTTCAGCTGCTCAAGGTATTTCAGCTAAATTAACGCCGAAATATGCCGGTCCGTACGTGATTGAAGAGGTTTGTGGTTCCAACACGTACAGGCTAGGCAATCAGCTGGAGATCCTGTCTGAGCTCTTCCATGCCAAAGACCTTAAACCATATTACGGTCCGGGTGAGGATGGGGAAAGCGAGGAGGTCATCAAACTTCGCGAGCCGCCAGATGAACTGCCGTCGGAGGATGCGAACGATTCCGCGGATGCGCGCGAAAATCCGGGAGGGGATTTATCGGATAGCGAGCGGGTCCAATTAGCAGCCCCACGGCCGTAGATAAAGTTCCCACCGAGACGTCGGATTTACCGGTATCTGCCCCAACTAAGAGAGGTCGAGGTCGACCTCGAAAGGTTCCAGAGACGGTCACCGGTCCAGTGAGGGGCAACAACTCTCCCGTGAAGGCGAATAGAGGGAGAGGTAGGCCTCGAAAGACCGTGCCCGTCGTACAAAGGACGGTTGGGCCGATAAAACCGAGCGGTAACCGACGAGGGCCAGGACGTTCCCACAAAGAATCGCGAGGGAGCGTATAACTCGGTGGGATGCGGCTATTATTAGGATTTTTTCTTCGCGCAGGGAGATTCATCCGAAATTTGTTGTTTTTTTGGATGTTTCAGATGGACCGGAGAATCGTCGTCGAAGAGGAGACCTTCGAGGTGGTCACGCAGATGTTGTTAGATCTGCAACTGGACCCTGATGCGACGCAGCTAATTGAAGATCTGCGGAGCTTCGTCAGGGTCCAGTTGGAAGGGACCACCCGAAGGGATCGGCGCAATGCCTCGGTGGCAGAGGTTTTCCGGGATTCGTCGTGGATCGCCCCGAAGAAGGCTTCTCGGGACTCTTCGACACAGACCGAGGACCAGGACAGTGTCGAACGTCCCAAGTCTACAGTGGACCAGGGGGTGCAGTCCCTCAAGTCCGGCGTAACTCTTACGTCGGACAGTGCGAGCCAATGCCCAGGACCCAGGGAAACCTGTGGGGCCTCGCACTGGGTCTGCAATCATCCCCGGATCCTTGAGCAGCCTACTCTCCTCCTCGACTTCAGACACGTGCGTCTGGGGATCAACGAGGTGGAGAATGCCTGGCGGTTCGCTCAAGAACTCCAGTCTCAGGTGCAGGAGCACCTGAGACGCTTTTTGAGCCGCCAGGGCGCAGAAGAGCTGCTCGGAGAGTGGGCAGGGATGGCTCAGCGTCAGAGGGCCTACGGAGAGGCCCTGCTGCGGGTGGATAACGAACAAGAGTCCTCCGCAGCGCTCCCGGCGCCGGCTCAAGAGAAGAGAGCCCCGGGAGCTCCTGACGCTGGACCGACGCTCACGGTCCATGTGGACGGGCGCATGGCTCCTGATACCACCATCGTGGTCAGGTCGCAGGATGGACGTGCGACCGCCACGGTGGGAGGCGTGACCATCACCGCCTCGCAGGGAGTCAGTGCCCAGCAGTCCCCTCTGGCTGCTGAGCAGCCATCACAGGACCGGGAGGCTGCTCAATCTCGGTCGCAGCTGAGGGCCTGCTACATCTGTGGGAAGTCTGGGGTGACCAACTCCCAGCGGTGCCCGAAGAAGGCTACACACTGGCGCTACCCGAAACATCGCGCGCCAGGTGTAGCCAAACGATGATGTAGGCCCTGGAGGGCAAATAAATTAGCCGAAATAAAGAAGGGAGTTGTTATTTTGTTTCCTCTCCTTCTTTATTATTTTCAGGTTCCTGATGGCAGCGAATCGCGGGTATTCGTCCTGCCCGGGTAGTCAGGACTTGGACGGGGCTGCAACGGTAGTCGATTTAATTAATCGAACCGTTCGCGATTCTGATTTTCGCGCGTTAGTTCTAAGTATTGAGAGAGAGAGAGGGGGCGCGCGATCTTTTAAATTAGCAGTTACGTCTCAGCTGTTGATTGGAGTGGAGATCGCCGAATTTTGTTTTCACAGTTTTTCTCGCCGAATAATCATTTTATACAGATTAATTACGCGCGCGAGTGCATCAAGGTGATAAACAGATTGCGGCGTTACGAAAGCAGCAGATTTGCAGCAGAAAGGCGGTACGAGGCAGCGCAGCTGATAAATCAGGACCAGAGGCAGTTGATCGTTTTTTCTAACATCAACAATTACGGCTGATCACCGTAATTGCACCGCAGGGTAGGTGCACCTCCCTTAATTATCGCGTGACAAAATACATTTAGTATTTTGTTCAACCGTGTTAGCGTTGATATTTTTTGTATTTGCGCCGAGCGTTAGATCGCGCCAATTTTCGTATCTTCTCTCTCTCTCTTTCTCACCGAAAGTTATTTAATTGTAAATCCTATTCGCGTGCGTCAGTCTTTCGGCCCGACAAAGACTGTAGAGATTTTTATTAATAAAATCTATTAAAATTATTCGCCGATTTCGTCATATGATTTTTCCTAGTAGTTTAAACAATTAGGAAAAGCTTAGGTTTTAATCCTATTATAGCTAGGGGATTAAGTGGATTTGGAGTAAAGTCGCTTACACTTGAAACTCATCGTGTGTCACAAGGCACGTGACTTAAGGTGAGTTTAACTCTGCTTGATCGAAGACAACTAAGTTAAGTCAGCTGACGTTAAGGCGAATACACGTATGAACATACGTGTTAACGGAGCGGCGGTTTGCTCTGCATCGTGAGAGTTTGTTCTTAAATAAATTTCTCATTTTTGCAGATTTATCCCCCCGTTACATGTTTTAGAAATCTGTAATAGAATTTTTAAAAGGTTTTCACTTCCTCTTTCGAATCGTTGAGTTTTGGTGATATGATCTTTAAGTACCGAGCAAAAAGTTTTTTAACTCTGCCGGTTCTTGTGTTGGGTCCAAAAGCATGTGGAGCGAAGTGTTAACATACACATTTCGTAAAAATTGCATTTTAAAACCTCTGAATATCTAAAACAAACTTCCAAAATGATTTTCGGCAGAAAATTTATTCATCAAAACAAAGTTTCATCTACAAGGAAGCAATAATTATGTTTCTATGTTTATATGTAATAATTTGTAATTCACCTTACGATAAATAATCAGTAGAAAAAAATAACTCGCTTATGTACTCAAGCTTTATTTTATTCACATGATTAACATTTTTTTATCAAATTTCGATGGTTATAAATTGGAAATTGCTAACCATTGCTTTTCTATTAATAATGATCCAGCTCCAAGTAATGTAAAACAATTTAATATACTTTTCTTATTTATAAATTGTAGTTTTAAATTATTCGAAATTTACATAACGTTGGGAAATACTATTGTCGTATATTTTTAATATTTTTTAGTTTTTCCAAGCTTAATATTATGTACAGGCAAAATCGTTATTATGAATTCAAACTTCAGCCCGTGACTCTATTTACAGAGTATTATACGAGAAATGGAGACACGAATGCTCCAGCTACTAAATCACCTACCAGATGTGCAGATTACAATGTACGTATATGCGAGAGAACATGAAAGCAAAAAGGATGCTGGATAAAATTCAATTATTTTGGAAAATACAAATAACGAAATCAAAATTTTTTTAGTCCGTCACAAAAAGGTTAGACAGACACCATGTTATCAACGGTGGACGAGCAAAGCGGTGTGCTTAGAGAACGTCCAACTGATATGGACCGACACAAATTCACGTCCATATAGCACTGCACCCTTTCTGTCTTGACCGACTGCGATTGTGCGACCGTGGCACTAATGTAAATGATTAACATACAAAAACTCTATTGTAGAGTTTCGTACTATTATATCCAATCTCCTATTTCATTAAACTACATTGTATTAAATATTCTTAAAAGCTAATTGAGTTCATGCTATACTGCCTGCATCATTCTGCTAGAAATAAATATTTAACACAACTTATTTAGTTTTAAACATTTAAAATTCTACCTTTCACTCAGTATACTTTATTACTAATATATTACTGTATCATGGAACATTTATTATATGATAGTAATTTATAAAGAGATAAAGACAAAAATATTATTCAATGATCGTGAGCAACATATTTTTTATCAGAATATCTTAAGCTTTCTACTAAATAATATTGAAAAATCATCTAATATGCTTTCTATAATTTTTTTTCTCGTGCTGAGAATTCTTGTTATATATACTGGCGTTTAAAATATAAATTTATTTGTATCTAGTCTCTCATTTTAAATAGTCATCGACTTTTGAAACTCTCAATATTTGGATCTGAATGAATGAAATGGTTTTCATTATGTAGTTTTCCTTAAATAATAAAAAAATTATTCAAAATATTCAGCCGTCGTTACTATTTCATCGTTTCTTAGAACGAATCGAATTAATATTAAACTACAAATAATCAGCTAAATACCCGTGATTCGTTTGTAATTTTGAGCGACATATATAAGTAACGTAGAAAGATTAGTTATACTTAGAAAGAAATGAGCGGAAGCAAGAAGATCATGAACATTTGATGCATTTGGAACTTACGCATTAATTTCATACAGTAGGCGCGGATCAAGAAAATTTACGTACCTTTAATTCTGGATCCTTTATGCTATACTCCGAAGCATATATATCGTAGTTGAATGGTAAACCCGTTATTTTATGTGCTCCGTTAGGCATCAGCAATACTGTGAATTTAAATTGTGCCACATATTCCGTTGGTTTTTCGTAAAGAACCTGATGACACAAAGAAGATCATCTAAATATCAAATCTCGATATATATATTCTGACAAAAATTTTTAAACAAAGAAAACACCCTTAATTTTTTTCTATACTTATTGCCCTAACTTTTAACTCAATGATGAGTAACCGTGTATCTCTCGAATTACAATTTTTTTAATATTTCAAACTACACTAAAATGTTGTCTTATCGTTATCATTATACTTTTTTATATAATACAAGGTTTTCTATCTCTTAAAATAGATTTTATTTTAGAAATAAATTTCTTTCCAAAATAATAAAAATAGGTTGCGAAAATCATGTTTTCATAGATATTACTTAACCCATTAGACACGTGCAAAAACTGCCAAAACTGGTATCACAACTTACAGCGTATTTTTCGTAGAAGTTTTATCTTAAACATTACACATAGAATTCTGAAATTTAAGCTCTTAAAAAAAACCAATATTATGCGAGTGTTTGCAAGAACCGTCAGACTTGCATAACATTTATGTCACGAATAAACACTTTTTAGAATAACATAGATAAACCCATCGCCATGTAGCAACCATTGCTGCTTTAGCGTGATAAACTTCAAAGATGATTGATTTAATAAAGACGATATAAAAAGTCATACATACGCTTTTGCAGACAGTTCATAATTAGAGCTCCGTACACTTATTCAGTTCGTCAATTCGGCGTTTTACATATTACTTTTACGTATTACTTTCACTTATTTTGTTAACTTTTGCTGTAAGCGTATTTAAACCTTTTGTTATTTTTCAATAAATTTAATAAATATTACACAGTGGTTTAAAGGTGAGACTTGTTTATTTCAACATCACCTGATCTAAACTACAGACGTATTCATCGACAATCTTCAAGGTATTGTAATAAATTATTATTTATTACATTTATTTTTACCCGCGTTTACAAGTCGAAATTTAATGATGATCACATTTAGAAATAAAGTGATTCTTATTCCATTAGATTCATAATAATACGCGTTGATCATTATTAATTTAATAACCAACTCATAACACTGGATATAATAACACCTACTATCATTCTAATAACTATGCTATTCATAACATAGGGGAAAAAATAGACATATATTTTTTCTTTTGACCTACTCAACCAAATCGCAAGAAATAAATACTCTTTAATAGTATAGAAAAACAAGGAAATAAAAATTAAATAAATAAATAAAGTGGAACTTGTCTTCTCAAATATAGCAGAACCAGAAAAGAAAAATACTGATTTTTATACTTTCCAAGAAAAAGAAAACAAACCTTATAAAAATTTCTTAAAAAATGTGCATCCAACGGTAAGTTTAGATAAATTAAAAATTGAAATTGAATCATTCAATCATAAAGTAATAAAAATAACAAATATAAAACATAATATTACTAAGCAACCATTAACAATATGTTTTGTTGAAATAAAAACAAAAGAAAGCAACAAAGAAATATACGAAATTGATTAAACTGATGCAATAAATTATTACTTTGAAATCTTCGCGTAAAAAAATGGAAATTCCGCAATGCATGCACTGCCGAAAATATGGTCATACCAACATTATTGTAGTAGAGAACCACTTTGCGTAAAATTCATAAATAATCATTCTATTAACAATTATCGTATACAAAACAAAATAAAAGACGTTAAATATGCAAACCGCGGCGATAATCATGTAGCTAGTTATAAAAATTATAGTTCAAGAAAATTCCTGCAACAAAAACTTATTTCAAAGATAAGGTCAACATAAATTGCTAACATCGAAGAAATCGAAAACCGTTAGATCAAACGTTTCATATGCAGAGGATGCAAACAGTAATAAATATACAACAAACGAAGAACTCAAACAAACACCGACACCCCAAAAAAACAGGAAATAATAACGACAGCCAAATCGTAAACATGTTGACTTAGCTGATAAACAAAGTGAAAACGATGCTAAATTTACTTACTATATTCACAAACAAGATTAAATGAATATAGAAATGAAAATAATAATTTGGAACATTAATGGTTTAGCGTAAAGAAATATACAATTAAAAACTTTTCTCATAATCATGTGACAGGACCCTGGCTAGAATAGCCGGTCTTGTCTGGCTCTCTCTCTCTCTCTCTCTCTCTCTCTCGCAACCTCGCTCCTTCGCTGTTGTCCTGGCGAGCGTTTGAAAATTACGAACCAATACCGATGCTCGCACCGCTTTATTTCAGGACCAATACCTAAGCCGGGCATCGTCATTAGGAGCCAATTGGGAGCAAGAGCGGCTGCGGCAAGAAGAAGAGAGAGAGAATGACGCGTCGCAAGTAGAGAGTAAGCGAGCGCAAGTGACCCGCGGCGATTCGCTCACGAGAGCGAAGCCGCCGGCGTTGCTCGAGCCGACCCACGAACGATTAAGGGAGAGAGTTCGAGCCGAGATTCAGAGTTAGCCGGATCGTTTGACAGCCGAGCGTGCGCACGTGAAAGAGAGCAAATCAGACAAAGGAAGCAGAGGACGTCGAGCAAATTGCAGAAAGGAAAGAGGACTTTAAACGACTCTAGCATCGAGGAATCTACATCCGAGCCTGCCAGCAGTCTCGCAGCATTTCTTGTCTGCAGCGGAATTACCAGCAACAGTTCCTGCCAGCAGCATCAGCAGCGATTCCTGCCAGCAGCCTTCACTAGGTCAGGTCGTCTCTCTCTCTCTCTTTCTCTCTCTATTCGCGAGTGCGCGACGCGTCGGCGAAGTAATCGCGATCTTCCGCGAACACGGCGAATTCCACAATTATAACGAGTCCCTCCTTTGTACACTCTCAAATCTTTGTACCGTGCCCCCGTGCGATTGTCCACACGACGTTGAGGACGACGCGTGAACTCGCGTCGTCGCTCTTTTATAGTTAAACGTCGAAAATAAATATTGTTAACGGTTATCATGAGTGATTATTGTGTGCGCCTGTCATTTCTTTCCTCTTAATCGCTAGCAGATGTCGCTTAGAACAAGCTATTTGTGATGGAGAGGAAAAAGAGTCTATTAGGAAGCAACTAAGGTTGAAAAATAACGAAGATGAAAGAGGAGAGAATGCTGGTAACAAAACCGAGAGCTGGCTGCAGTTCAGCACAGTTGTTCAACACTTGTTTGAAACAGCAGTTGCATCCTCATCCTTCTTCTCTAGTAAATTTTCAATAATCCTCTAGTAAAAGTAAGTTTTATTTATAATTTTCTCATTATTTCCCAGTAAAAAGGCAGATCGAATTAACCCATCGATATTATTTAAAAGTGCAAAAAGCATTGTTTTTTGACATATTTGAAGTCATGTAGCATCGTAAATAAATTTTATCACAGAAAACTATTCAAAGCATCTTAAAGTACAAATCTTCTCCTTCAAAATACCGTTGAGTTTGCCTAAATATCTTTTTTTTTTACCAAGATATCGCATTTTGAAATTTTCATATTTATGAATTTCTTAAAATTCGAAAATCCATTAACCCATTATATCCTAAGTGGATGATTTTGTTTTACTTTTTTCAATTGATCTTTTATCAGGAATAGACATTTCTGACGTAAAATTGTCTGAACTTTCTATCTATGCTGTTAGAATTTTCAAAAAATGCGTGCGTGTGTGTGTGTATATGCATGCGTGTGCGTTGACTTCAAATTCGTGATTAGTGACCCCAAAAACCGCCGAGTAACAATGTTCAAGTAAATTCACTGAACAGAAAAATCAGTGCAACAAAGGGTTAATGGATTTTCGAATTTTGAAAAATTCATAAATATAAAAATTTCAAAATACGATTTCTCGTCAAAAAAAAGATATTTGGGTAAACTCGGCGGCATTTAAAAGGAGATGATTTGTACTTTGAGATTCTTTAAATAGTTTTTTGTGAAAAATTTATTTACGATGCTTGTAGTGTTTCTTACACTTTTAGTGTACTGTACTTAAACCAGTCTGGACATATGGCATTCAACTATGGGGTGCCGCTTCTAACTCGAATATCGAAATCCTGGAAAGAGTTCAATCGAAAGTCCTACGCAATATAGTACGGGCTCCATTATTCGTACCGAATGAAATTATCCACAATGATTTATAGATACCTAGAATCAAAGAAGAAATTAAAAAATTCTACACAAAATATAATTCCAGATATCAAAAACCACCCAAATAGACTTGTCAACAGACTTCTCAAGACATCCATTGCCAACACCAGAGTGATAAAAGATAAATTAATGAATGCGCAAATAAATTAACTTGATTATTTCAATCATACCGTAAAACAAAGATAGTATAATTACTTAAGTATACTGCTGTTTATTATATAGATATGTCTAATAGCAACAAAATTTGTTTATTGTCTCTATACGTTAGACAGATTGTAAATAGTTTTGAAGTAATAAAAAAAAAATTTGTCACTTTGAGCGCCACTGGTGATCTTACTGGAGGCACTGCTTTAATAGCAATTCAACAGTGATAAATCCACTCAAAATGAATTGAAAGAGAATCATAGACATAATAATATGGAAGTAATTGCTATAGATACAAATCTTTACTTAAAACCACATAATAAAGGTTATAGTATGCATCTCAAGCCGCATATCAATGGAAGAGATTTAATGAAAGACGATAGAAGTAGCTTTACCTAATCGTGCACAGACAGATCTAGATATAAAAAAATATAATAACCTAATCAAAATTGATGATTTTCGAAGAGTTTTCATGCGTAATGTCTTGCCAGCTAATGGACCTCCTTTTTAAGAATCGGCTATTTGAATTTAGATGATAAAAGTAGTACAGGTACTTATTGGATAGTCTACAACAAGAGAGTTAATGAGGTTATATACTTCGATAGTTTTATTGACCTTCAACCACCTATAAATTTATTACTTTATCTCGAAGTCAATAGAGTTAAGTATAATTACGTTAGATATAAAGAATTTAATATTACAATTACGATCATCTTTGTCTGAAATTTTATTTGAATACACTATAGTATCAAAACACTTATAGTTAAGAATGAAAGTTATTTGT